AAAAGGTGTCAGAGCCTTAGATGATTTGACGGTGAATCATAAAGTTAGAGTTCAAATCAAACCGAAAGGTCCTTGGGAAGATGGTAACATTCTAGAAAAAAAATAGGTATTAGGCAGTATAAAATTCAGTTAGAAATGGTACAACATTTATTAGGAATAGAAAATTTATTAAAAAATCGTTCCAACATGTAAATTTGACTAAGCCATTTCAAAATGATCATCAACAAACTGAAAATGGTTATAGGTTAATAAGAGTAGGTGAGGATGACAACACCAATAGCAACTTATTTAATAATCAACAAGAAACATCACAAGATGTCGAAATTTGAACAATGGCTCGTATAACAATAGTTCACTTTCAAGTTTTTTTAGCGATAACTCTAGTCAAGAAGTGTCGAATGAATATAGAAATGATAATTATAATGTAAACCCAGATATTATGAAACATAATCTAGTGCCAAAAATTAGTGGAAACAATTCTATACAAAAATGAGCAAATCTCACAAATTGTAACTCGATCTGGCAGAATTTTGAGACCGCCCAGTAAATACAAAATTTATGATACATCTAACAATGAATGATAATCAATGGCTACAATAAAATGTACAATACACATTGTATATTACCTTTAAAACATGTTGTAACTAGGCAATAGATAATGCTCAATAGTATAATTATTTTTAAAAAGGATGAAAGTATGTATTTGCACACAAAACTTGAGCAATTTTTTATAAATGTAATGTGTATAAATGTAACATGTTACAGACACTGCATTGAATTTTAAAGATGTATATAAAATGTACATATCATTTTCTTATCGAATAATTGAAACATTCTGTTATGAAACATTTCATTTTAGGATATCAATCATATCTCAACAAGGGGGATGTGATTTGTTTTGTGACACAAGTTATGTATATCAACATTATTAGATTGGCTACAGTGACTGTCGGAACCTACCTGTCATATTGTAAGTCTAGAGAGATGAATAAAGGAGTTGCTCATCGACATGCGACTAGAATGTATCAAGTAGTTTCATTCAAAATATAACAGTTGGAGCAAAGCACGTTGATACTGATATTTGGGTTGATTTAATGATTTGGAGTATAGATGAATATTTTCAAATCTCAATCCATTAGGATGTTCTATTAGTTGTCACCTTCTTTCTATCAAGATATAGAAAGAAGGCGATAATTGCTTTCGGCTAGCTTTTTCAGGGCGGCAAGGGCGTAGGTCGTTACAAGGTGATGGTTCTCAGAAATCCAATTTTTGACTGAGAATAAGCTTGATTTACCTTGACGTTACATTGGACGCCATCTACAGTTTTTAAAGTGGTTTCAAACTTATTCTCAGACCCGTCTCTGTAGAAAGACTTTCTTGGGTGTCTGAAATCCCCAAAATGCAAATGATACAAATCAATTTGTTTTATTAGTTTAATTTGTTTGTTGGGATCACTTCATATGAAATAAAGTTTGCTACAATTTATTATGAAATACCAAAATTGAACACAGATGGGAACACTGTCCCTTTTTACATTTCAATACTTGAATAAAAATTACCGTATAGTTTCTTACCTAAGGATGAATGCATTCAAACCTTTTTTGTATTAAGAATAATTTCCANCTTAAAGCCATTGAAGATATAAGGGCACCAGCCAATAAAAAAGAATTACAAAAGCTGCTAGGGTTGGTGAATTATGTCAGAAAGTTCATTCCAAAATTAGGAGAAATGGCTGAACCTCTTTGTCAGTTACTTAAAAAAGACATTATTTTTCAGTGGTTAGGAGTTCATGAGAAGGCACTAAAGAATATTAAAAAGGAAATTGCTAAAAATATTACCTTGAAAAATTTTGATCCTAAAAAAATATAATAATTCAGACAGATGCATCACTTAACGGTTTAGGATGTTGTTTGTTGCAAGAAGGAAGGCCTGTAGCGTCCACACGCTAGACAGTTGACAGATATAGAAAAAAATTATGCGATAATAGAAAAAGAGTTGCTTGCTATTGTGTATGTTTGTGAAAAGTTTCCTAATTTTATTTATGGACGGTCCATCAAAATTATTACAGATCATAAACCTGATGTTAGCATCATGAATAAATACAGTACATGCCAGGAAAATATTTATATATTGCGGATTATTTATCAAGGAATGTAAGTTCTGAAAAGGTAGAAAATGATGATGAAATGAACGAAATGGTACACTCTGTAGAAAAGTACTTGAGAATGAGTGAGAGTAGGAAAGAACAATTCAGAAAAGAAACCGTGAAAGATAGCGTATGAAAAAAGTTATAGAGTATTGTGAAAAAGGATAGAATAAGAGAAAAAGTTATGAAGGAGAGTTGGGAGTTTATTACAATCTTAGGGCTGAGTTGTACATGAAGGACATTTTGGAATAAATCGTACCATTGACAGGGCTCGTTGTGTGCTATTTTGGCCTGGAATGAGTGCAGAGATAAAAAGAGATGTTCAGCAGTGTAAAATTTGTGAAAAATACAGATATACTAATGTGAAAGAACCACTATTGTCACACAACATTCCTGAACTGCCTTTTCAAAAGTTAGGCTGTGATATTATGGAGTATGGTGGAAAGTCCTATCTAGTAATTGTGGATTATTCAACTAATTGGCTTGAAATAGTTCCCTTAAAAGGAAAGTAGTCAGGAGATATTATAAATGATTTCAAACAAATATTTGCTACTCATGGTATGCCTGATATCATTGTAGCGGATAACATGCCATTCGGATCGTATGAATGTAGAAAATTTGCAGAAAACTTTGATTTTAAATTCCAGACAAGTAGTCCTAGATACCCGAAATCCAACGGTTTAGCCGAAAGATTTGTTCAAACAGCTAAAAATATAACTCAAAAGTCTGGCGATATGTGGGTCGCTTTAATGGAATATCGTAATACTCCTATTACATGTCTTAAAAGGTCCCCCGCAGAACTATTGTTTTCACGAAAATTAAAAACAAAATTACCTCTCGTTGAAGAGCAAGATGTTAAGATAAAAGAATTCAGAGAGGAATTGAAAAGAAGAAATAATGTGTACAAAGAACGTTATGACAAACATACTAGGGAAAGATCTGAGTTTAATGTAGGTGATAATATTGTATATAGACAGGATAAAAAGTGGTGTCCTGCACTAGTCATAGGTGAACATGAATCTCCCAGGTCATATTTAATAAATAATGGAACCAATGTTTTGAGGCGAAATAGTTATCATATGCGCAATTCTAAGAATAAGTTTAATATTGAAGATAACTCTAAAAATGGTACCTTAGATAATTATGAATATTCGCAAATGTGTAATGAAAAACCAACTTATAATTTTAGCGAATCTCGCGTTTCTATAAACCATGAGACTGATAATAGTAGTCCTCAAATGTGTATCTCCAACAGTGCAGAGTATAGAAACATGAGAACGAGACCCACTCGTATAAAAATGAAACCTGTAAAGTTTTCGGACTATATTATGTAAATAACTCATAAGGGGAAGGTGTAGTAAGTAGTAGTTAAGATGTATTAGTAGTCACTGCTGTTTGTGACAGCTGGCTTGAAGATACAGAAAGTGACCTACATTAACGGCACCAGCATGGTGACGAATTCACATGGTTGTAACTGACTCTTTTTAATAAATTAGTTAAACAATAAATGAGGAATCTGAGTGGAAATATTTTGTTTGGTATAATACTACAGGGTATATTGGCTGCTGCATCCCAAGCCCCCAGGTATTCGATTTCCATGATTGGACGCAACAGTAACAGCTTAGTTGTCGACGGATTTCTGAATAATCATCAGTGCCTTTTCAACATCGATACTGGAGCAACTAGGTCATTAATGAGGGCCTTCATTTCCAACAGAAGCAGTTTGCAGAAATTATCAGTAGTACCTGTTGAGAGTATGTGAATAATCTAAAGGAGATACTAGAAATTGTACACGAATTTGTCAGTACCAAATTATAGCTTTCCAGCGACAGGATGAAGATAAGATTTAACAAAAAGTCAATGCGAACAACCTCAGGGAAGGGGATAGTGTTGTCATGCCCGAAAGGAAATAACGCCGGCCGCCACTGGTAACCATAAACCAAACGTGACGTAGCTAAGAGAGCGGAAATGCACATTGTTCCCTGCCGCTCGAGAAGCAGCGAGAATAATGCTACCGATTTCGACTAATTTCGGTGAAATTTCTACGGTATTCGACTACGACATTTAAACGCTAGCGGCGGGCATATCGGGACAGTCAAGTACACAGTGAAGTGAACGTTTCAGTGCGGTACGCGAAGTGATCTAGTAAGGCGACGGACATTCAAATAATAGTTGAAGTTTGGTTGAAGTATTTGTTGTTTTTATAAAGTAAAGTGAGTAAATAGCAGCAGTGTCAGTGACTTTGATTGGGGTTTCAATACGGCGTATTGAGTCGTTTTTTATTTTTTTAATGAATAAAAAATGATTTGATTTAAATTTAGGTCTTGCGTCGCCTGGCTATTGCAGAAAATAACATCATCATTATACTACGCTAATCTACGACGATCATAATCGTAGATCTATCATAGAGGACCTCGCTTAATGAAACTGGATAATTATTCACGGTCATATTTTGGTATTCGATTTTTATAAATAATATTGAATGAGTTATTTCTTTGATATAAGTTGAATATTGAATAATGCATTCATGGAACTGGTCTCGGTGGATAAGGACGTATCTGGTTTTAGCTCAGCTGAAAATTGAATCTTGACACAATTATGTATTTCATCACCGAAAGAACTTCTTGAACCTTGTTTGTATGTACAGTACAAATACTGGAATTGGTCTGAACACTGAATAAATTCGTGAGAGGTGAGAGGTTGCAAAAGCAAAAGCAGAACTACTTGTAAAAACTACTTTCCGAGATTCCTAAATCAACACCGCCTAGAAAAGAGAAGGAATCAGGATTTATTTTCAAAATATTGTGATAAAAGATTTTTACACATTACTTTTACTTTAAAAGCAAAATAATTGTTTCAGAAGCATAGAAATATATTTTCAAAATTTTAACTTGACAGTTTGTTTCTAAATACTAAATAGATATTCTACGCAATAAAAAATTAATAGTAAACAATACATACATTTCTATTTGTATGAAAATAAAAATGAGAATAAATAGATAATAACTTCGTTAAATTACTTTTAATACCACCATTTTTACCCAACTAATGCAACCAGCATACTCTTGTAGTTTGACGATATATCCTCCTGAAAATAATGGAATAAATCATTCTCAACAAAATCTGTAAAAAATGTTGATAATGTTGCACTGAGACATGGAAAATTATATGAAAACGCAATGGTATAAATGAAAAGTAAATGACATGCCATTACAAAAATCAGTTGTCCAATAGTAGTTCATTCATTCAATTATTTTACCATTAATATTATTGCTACATTTGTTTAAAACATTTGTTCAAAGATTCAAAACAGATTTTGTTCTAGTTTTTTTGTATTTTGAAACAATGATAAAGATGTTTTTCCAATCCTTTATTTCTGGTAATTTAATAATCCATACTTATTTGATTATAACAATTAGAATGAAGCAAAATAGTTTTAGGAGCTTTTGTTCAACAATTTGTAAACGAAGACTCCAGCGGTAGACGGTGGATTGACGCAATTGAAGAATTAAGCGAATTGTCTATTATTTCTGCCACAGGAACATCAAATTTGTTTTTCCAATCCTTTATTTCTGGTAATTTAATAATCCATACTTATTTGACTATAACAATTACAATGAAGCAAAATAGTTTTAGGAGCTTTTGTTCAACAATCATCTGACTTCGTATGTAAACGAAGACTCCAGCGGTAGACGGTGGATTGACGCAATTGAAGAATTAAGCGAATTGTCTATTATTTCTGCCACAGGAACATCAAATTTGTCTCTGAATAGCCTTCAGAGCCAAACCATTGCGTCTGCCCTCTCCACTCGAATTACCTGAATGAGTTTTCAAGTCTACAAATTGTTTCATATGGAACGAAAGTATAAACATTCTATTCAATATCCACTGAAGGAACCAGATGGCTGATATTTGACAAAATTGAAATTCAAATGCATTTGGTCGATGAAATCCCTGAGGAAGGGAAATGCAACTGCGATACAAAAATATGTCTTTGGGCCCTTCGAACTAACATTTATTTTGTTTTGTTTGGATTCTATCTGTGAAATTTTAACATCTTCTGTGGAGGAAAGTAGATATTTTGCAAATTGATGACAGACCACATAAAGGAGAAGCATATAGTGTATTTGAATAAAACAGATGAGTAACATAGCTTTTCCAGATGTACCTGAGTCTCAATCATCATTCAATGGCTCCAATTGTTCCAAGATTGATTCATAAATCTTTTTGAATCCCAATAACCACTCATGATTATCGACTCATCTTATGGATCTTATGGCACACATACGAGTCAAATTTTTTCACTCCGTTTCAGGAAAATGGGATTCAATATTCTTTTTCAAGGCTTCAATTCTTTTGGGAAAATTTTTGAGGAAATTTACCACTGACGTGTTCTGTGTTTTTGAAGGATTATTTTCACAACGTTTTGGCAAAGTCTCATTTGCCATCTTCTGGCAATGTCTGGAGTTTAGAACTATAGTCTAGGTCTAAATACTTCATTCCTATTATAAAGAAATGCAATAACTGGGTGACATTATTCAGATTATATACCTTATTTGGGTTTTGAAATATTTCGCAATAACCAAGTATAGGCATTAAAAATAACTTGTAAGACTTGAATCCGATTTGAAAATATTAAAATTACTTATCGATCACCGTAATAAATTATTTTCAGTCTCATCACATTAATAAACATAAACATGCAAAATATTATACCTACATACATTAATTGACAATCGCCAGTAATATTTTTGAGTAATCTCCAGAAGTGTCGTTCTAAAAAGAAATAGACCAAATAAGAAGTTAGTATTTCAATTGTTTGGGTTAGAAAGCAAATAGTAAGGGTTAATTTACTTGTGTTGTTAGATCTAAATAATTCGAAATGCTTTTGATTTTCTTATTTTGTTCATTATTGGAGAAAGAAAAGTAAAAAGATCTAAGGAAGGTGGGTTACTGCGTTGATGAAATAAGAATGAGATGATACATATACTTCGAATTTACTATACTAACCGATATTCTTTCCGCCAAATTTGTTTCATATTTGGCTTCGTATGCATTTTTGATTTCCTCTAAATCAATTTCTGATCTTGATACTATTATTCTTATCAATGTTTTGTCGGTAGTCCCTAGTCCAGACATAGCATCATGCAATCTCGTAGCCAAATAGGTAGTTCGATCTTTTAGACATGAAACCAACCCCAAAATTGCATCCTTAGTGGTACCTATTGGATAAGAAAAAAAAATGAAAAATGAAAAAATGCTCTATGAATCACAAATATACATACAGTGTGACCAGTCCACATTATATCAGAATTTTTTTATCAATATATTTACTCGAAATTCAAGTTTACCATCAATCACTGCCTCGATCGAGAAATTTCAATTTTTTCACGGAAGATATCGAAAAAATGATATTTGAAAAAGCTTTTCCAAATACAATTTCTGGTCTCATTTAATATGCCGCTACACGTTCAAAGAAATTGGGTGAGAAAAAAAGCGTTGTCATTTACGTACGTTGCACTGAGTCTAATTTTGTAACAGTGCCAGTGGTGCAATTTTCTTTTTCTTGAGGATGATCACTTGGTGATTGAAACACGTGTCGAGGTGTTCAAAATAACGGTTTGGTGTTGGCAGAGAACTCCAGCAATATTCATTACTACACCAAAGGTTCCAAAGAGTGCATCATAAGATGTGGACTTTGCTGGTCACACTGAATATGTTTGACATGAACAAGAATATACCAGCAATGTAATGGACAGAAAGTGAAAATCACGAAAATTAAAGATACAAGGGAGTCTCGATTTTCTGATTTAAACATTATTGCGAAGTACCCCCAATATTTGCAAACCTTTCTTGTTTTACAGCAGCAGAATTGTGGTAAAATTTTAACATGTTTCAACAGTTTGAACCAGAGTAGTTCGGGGACCATAAAGAAGTCTAGGTACTTCTGAAGATACCAATCGTTCGTATGGGTGATATTTTTAGAAACATTTATTCAAATAAACAACGGTTAACATTCTTGACAAACATAATATTGGAACAGGTCCACGAAAGCTTGACTCAACTCTCAATATTTTTTCATTTTTTCGGGTCATGTTCATTTTATTCAGACGTATTTGAAAACGCTCATTGCCTTACTTCAGGCAAGGAGGAGAACAATATCGAAGTTTTCAGAACTGCTAAGAGTGTGAGACAATAATGAGCTATATATAAATAAAAAAAGGAGCATTTCCAAAGTGAATTATTCACTGGTGACTAAATCAGTTTGCTTGAAAGTATATAGCGAGTATTCATGATATCAAAATAGTGACTTCAAAAGTACTGATAAAGCCAAACTATGCTTAGAAGTGTGATCATTTACTTACGGAAAACTGATACTACTTACTGTTCAGTAGCATAAGAGCTGTCACCATTAGAGTTTTCGCGAGTGAAATGGTTTTCATTGCATTATCAGCTTAAAAAATCTCTTGAGAATATTTGTCTAATCCAGATTTTCGAAACAGAATTGGCGAAGAGCTGTACACTGCGTAGTCCACAGTTTCTTGAACTGTTGCTAATGGCGGTAAAAATAATTCAACAGCCCATTTTATGGATCAATTTTTATTAGTCACCATGCCGTAACGAAAGATAAACGAAAGACTTGCGGGCAAGTCAGTTCAGATTTACGGGTGCTATTGAAGCATTAGACTGTTCACAGGTGAATTTAGACAAAACTAAAGTATACGAGGACGAATACATAAACCGCAAAGAAGAAGCCACTTTGAATGTACAAGCTACGTAATGTAAGGGCATATTCATAAGTATGTATTTGAGCTTACCCTGTTTGGTAAATAACAGCAGAATTTGAAAAAAAACGAAGTTTGAGAAGTAATGGGACATATAGAGAACGCCGTTCTCATTGCTGTTCAGGAATATACAATTGATCTTTAGCTTATGATTCCATTTCGGCAAAGGCGTAAAAGCGGCTTACAATGAACTGGTAGAAAAAGTAGTGTTTGGGCAGCTGAAACGGTGCTTTCCTAAATTGAAATATGGTATCTTATTAGTAAGTGGGCTATGCTTGAAGACTGGCAGTAAACATTCTAAAGCAACTGAACTTCAAACGTTCAAATCAGTCTCTATATACCTACACAGTAGGTTTAATGGACTGACGCCTATCAGAAAACAACTACTCCCCTGGCTAATACCACGAAGGGCGTTGGATTATATCCGACAGGCGTCAGTGCAGGAATCTTCACAGAAAATTTCCTGCATATCAAACTATGCTTAGAAGTGCGATCATTTACTTACGGAAAACTGATACTATTGTTCAGTAGCATAAGAGCTGTCACCATTAGAGTATTCGCGAGTGAAATGGTTTTCATTTCAGGAAAAATGGGTGAAATGATGAATCTATGGAATATGAAGTACTACATAACCGCCAACAAGTGATTTTAAAAACATGTTCCGGTTTGAACAGGAAAATGTGAAATGGTAAGCCCACAACTTTCTAGGTGAGATAGAACAGCGTGATGTTGCATTATCAGCTTAAAAAATCTCTTGAGAATATTTGTCTAATCCAGATTTTCGAAACAGAATTGGCGAAGAGCTGTACACTGCGTGTACAGCTGTTGCTAATGGCGATAAAAATAATTCAACAGCCCATTTTATGGATCAATTTTTATTAGTCACCATGCCGTAACGAAAGATAAAGACTTGCGGGCAAGTCAGTTCAGATTTACGAGTGCTATTGAAGCATTAGACTGTTCACAGGTGAATATAGACAAAACTAAAGTATACGAGGACGAATACATAAACCGCAAAGAAGAAGCCACTTTGAATGTACAAGCTACGTAATCTAAGGGCATATTCATAAGTGTGTATTTGAGCTTACCCTGTTTGGTAAATAACAGCAGAATTTGAAAAAAAAAACGAAGTTTGAGAAGTAATGGGGCATATAGAGAACGCCGTTCTCATTGCTGAAAGAATTCCGATTTTCAATTGTGGAATATCATTGACTTTAGGTCGATGATGGTCACTATCTTGCACTGATGAGTGGCTAATAAGCCCGAAACCGGTCTGCAAGTGTGCCCGTTCCATAATTGAAGGTCGAATCTTTCAGTTGCATTGCCAATTGTATATGCAGGAAATTTTCTGTGAAGATTCCTGCACTGACGCCTGTCGGATATAATCCAACGCCCTTCGTGGTATTAGCCAGGAGAGTAGTTGTTTTCTGATAGGCGTCAGTCCATTAAACCTACTGTGTAGGTATATAGAGACTGGTTTGAACGTTTGAAGTTCAGTTGCTTTAGATTGAAATATGGTAGTCGCGTGACATTGGCTGATGTTCCAGATCTTACACAACATTGCCAAGACCTTGCGAGATCTAGATTTTGAAGGCAATGATGCAGATGAAGACCTTGTACTTGCCCGCGGTAAGGAAGTTTGTGGAGTTTCAGCTAGTATGATGCAAATTATAAAGCACTGTACCTAGTCAAATGTGTTAACTGTGTGAAGTGCAGGTCTAAAGTTGTGCTTGCGTATGTCCATTTAGATATTCTTATTTAATTAAGCAATTACTTTCATTAAAAATATTTGCTTTTTCTTCTGCCTTATACTCATTAATATTCACCCTATTTTTATTCATGTGACGCAATGTCTCGTCAACATTCAATACATAATGAATCTTCTTGAATTTCAAAATTGTACCCACATTAAAAAAAAGCACTGGAATACCTGAAAATTCGTTGTCTATTGCTTCTTCTATGGAATGGCCTGTAATCGCCTCGTACTGCTCAAAAATCAGTTTGGCTTGTACTCTGCTTCTCGTACAGAGGATAGCATTGAAAACAGATTCTTCTGTACCCAAAGTTCCCTCTCCAGCGTCATAAAGTGCTTGAGCATCCATTATGGCAGCATTCTTGTCAACCGCGTAGGATTCATCTCTGTTACCCTGAATTCATTACAAAAAACTTATATTAACGGAAAGAAAACTTTCCCCCATCACAGATTCGACAATGTTGTATCAATTTTCGTGAAAAATGTTTTCATCCATATCAAATTATTCGTTTCCTGATTATGCAGTTTCAATCATGAAAAGTCCATGTTGATTCTTATTTCAGATACAATGTATACAGTTTGTCTCACTGAATCGGAACCATATGAAATAAATTCTTATTAGTGATTTTAGGATAACGGAAGTCCTCATAAACAGTTCTGTGAGGACTGGAACATCAAATGCAATCGGTTATCAAATTATTTCTGCTCGAGAGTAAAAGTACCTTTATTTCTGCCGATATCGAAAACTGTTTCTACAGGAAACTGATCAGAAATAAAAATCACGATCAAATATGTTATTGCATCAATTTTCAATGAAAAATCAGGTTTCACCATTTTTCACCAACATTTCTACATTTATATTCGCTGAAATAATTTGATAACCGATGATTGCATTTAAAGTTTCAGTCCTAGCAAAACTTTTTATGAAGAATGATTTTTTCTTAAATTTATCGAAAAAATACTTTCTAAAAGGTCCCAAGTTACTGAAACATACCGCATAAAATTCACACTCAGAGTTTTTCCAGAATGGGACTATAAAGTTGAAATTTTGTTTGAAAATACACAAAATTTGTTTATATTCGAATGTTGAGATATGGTATCATTACATAACTTAGTGAGAATCACTACATCAGGAAAAAACCTAAAATTGTGATGAGCAATTGCAAAAAATGGCGGCATTTTCTATTCAACTTGAATATTATGTTGGCCTTATCATAATCTGAAAAGCATGACTTTCGGAAAGCAGTAGTACATTTTACAGCTTATACCTCAATGTACTCAATGTAACGTTATACAAGGTACTTAATCAACTTAATCTTACTGAATTTAAAAGAATAATTATAAAAAAACGATTATTTCATGATGAATTCATATCAAAAGTTTAGGAGTACGATAATTTACTTACCGTTGAGAGAGACACCAACAATCTTTCTAATGTTCCTGACTCATCAGATTTAATATCTTCTTCAAGGGAGGATTCGTATTCTGCAAATTATAAGTTGAACATATATCGAACAGAATCAAAACTTATTTCAAGGGATTAGAAAGAATTATTTTATTTTTCAGCTTCCGAAATATCATACTACAGTCGAAATAGGATTCTCATTGATTAGGGAAAGGAAGGGAAAGATGGCGAACAGGCTAAGTTGGCGAATCACGATTAACACCTCTCTGACTGCAGGTGGCAGCTATCGGACGACATATGATCACATGACATGCTATTTTCACAATGTGTAAACCCCAAACGCGTTACTCCTTTGTTTGGTGCATGTTTGTGCGCACGCTAATTCTCTTCCAATATTTCGTCAACAAAAGAATTTTTATTAATCACGGCAGGTAAGAGTTATCTTTTTTTTCTGTATTAAGCCATAGCTATGTTCTTACGTATTTGCTATTGGCAATATAATATTTTATTTCGATTCTAATTGTAAAAAATCTTTCTAACTAAATATTGTTGGAGGTCAAGATGGCGGATGAAACGGAGGCCAAGTTGGCGAGTTCGCCAACTTGGTTCTATGCTTCATTGGTTTTTTTCTTCTTATTCTTTACCGTCTCCATCTCTCCCTCCTATTTTCATCGGTATTTTCATGACATCGGTATTTTCATGACATCGGTATTTTCATGACATTTTATAAATGTCAATAGCAAAGATTCTTTTTTATTTTAGATGAGAAAATACAAAAGGAAAACGACGCGTCAATCGTTTGGCGCGGAAAAAGTCAAATGAGCTATCGACGAAGTTGAAAAAGGCACCAGTGTTAATTCTGCAGCTAAACAGTACGGTTACCCGAGACGACAATAAGGAGGTACCTGAAAAATCCCGCAGGACAACCCTTAAATGCAGGAAGATTCAAATTAGGTTTGCAAAATATGGGAAATTTATTTGGAATCGCTTATGGTAAAGTTGCAAATGTGAGGCTTCTCGGCTACAGGGATTGTGCCCTTTAATTCACAAATCTTTCCAGATAGTGACTTTGAGGCAGCTGATATCACGAATCAGTCAGCCGTTCCTGCCTTGCTGCACCAGCAGCTTCTATTGTAATTGATAGTGATCCACCACTTGCAGCTACTGGTATTGCAGGGTTACCAATACCACTTCAAGCCTCTATTGAACAGCCTCATTCAGCCGATTCTCTAGGTGAGCCGAGGAGCCATCCAGTAGCGAGTTCCTCAAAGACTAGTCTTCCTATATAACTTAAGGTTCCAGTGAAAGAAAAAAACGAAAGGAGAGAAATTACCTGGCTTACATCTTACTAGCACTCCGGTAAGAGACGTATTGCTGGAGAGGAAAGAAGAGGAAAAAAGGCAGAGAGGGCAATGAAGCGTTCAGAGAAAATAAAAAACCAGAAAGCTGCAAAATTGTCAAAAGAAAATTCAAAGCAAAAAAAGTTTACAGTTGTTAAAAAGAAGCTATTTTTAAGGGACGACTCCTCGAACTCGTCCATCGAGGTTCGACTAGATAGCGAAGATGGTGGTATGGATTTGGATGAAGCCGAAAAAATTTTTATAATTTGTGACGAGGTTGGCACGGCAGAAACTTGGTATTGCTGTAGTTCCTGCAAAAAATGGACACATGCGCAATGTGCGGAAGTTACGGCTAAAGAAGCCAAGATAAAAACGTGGGTGTGCGATTTCTGTACTAGATTTTTTTCATTAAATGCCTTTTTGAACTCTAACTATTGTATTTGAAAATATGATGCTTTATTCGCGATTTCGCAAGTTTCGCACCCCATAAAATAGATCCCGCATGTGAGTTTAAGTTGGCGAATGTGCAGTGGACTAAAAAAAAATGGAAGTAACAATAACTTCCAATATACTTAGAGTTACGGAAACACCCTAATCTTATGCCTGAAGCTTCTATCAAGGCTACCCAAAAGTAATTTTGCTTCCACAAGAAGTACCTTGTAGAAAATATTAAGTACCTAATAACTGTTACGTTCGCCATTTGCATGTACTTGCAAATGATTTAGAAAATGTTTAAAACATTTCCCTACAAAAACTATTCATAACATCTCTTCTGAATTTTGTTACTCATAAGAAAATAATGGATGGAATATGGATTGATTTTCAGTTGAACATGCCTCCCGTATTTTCTATCAAACCATTCAAAATATATTGTTCCATGTGATTTAACTTTCCTGATGCTTATCAAAATATAGATTCTATACTATGAAGCAACAATTAGTTTGAAAAATTTCAAAGAATTGTTGTTTCCATTAATTACATTCCATAGCTAACCTGAGACCAATTATGTTATCGATGATAAAATAAAAAAAAATAGATGAGCAGATCTAACAAGTTGTTCAAGAAACACACCATTCTTCACGTATTCATGGATACCTTTTTCAGTTGCTCACATGCAAGATATATGGTCTTCCAATAGGTACTTCTGAACTCCGACAACTGATAACGGCTATCTTGTTGAAGCTACATTTGTCAAATTAGTTGTCATTGATTCAGTCTGTTTCAAAAAATCACCATGGACGGATAAAGCATCTAACAAGATGTACAAATAATAAAATTGTTTTATCAAAATGGGTTTTTCGTTCGAGCAACGTATCGCGCGCTTCGCCCATTTTACGGTCACCATAATAGTCCTACTGAGAAGACTATTCGCAATGTGGTGGATGAATTTGATGGATGGATTTTTGATGGATGAACAATGTTATTATTATTTTACCGAAATGGTTGTAACGGTCGGATCCTATCCTCGAAACCCTGATACATTCGATACATCACTAGCCAATGACAACTTCACAGCCTGAGGAAAGCACTAATGATTATTTTCTTCAGGCTGTGAAGTTCTCATTGGTCCAATAATCATGACAGCCTCCTTCATTTTTCTGACCACGATTTCTGTCGTAGTTTGGCAAACAACAATAATATTGAGACTCTGGAGTAGGAAAAGAAGAATAATAAAAACAGAGTGGCCTGGATAGATTATTAATATTATTATTATTCCGACCCATTCGGAGAGCGTGCCATAACCATTAACCAATGACTACTTCTCACAACTTTGGGATGAGTGGTGTTTGTGTCCGAAAATCGTGTGCTAGAATCCTCATGGTCAATTTATCGCAGACAATTTGAAGCCGCTGCGGAAAATAATGGGTGGAGAAATGAGGAGAAAGCAACAGCTCTCATACAGGCACTACGAGGAAAGGCATCCGAAATTCTGCAAAATATTCCAGTAAATAGGCAGAAGGATTATGAAACAGTCGTATCAGCTTTGGAGGTCAGATATGCTAGTGAGCACCTTCAACAAGTATACCAAGCTCAACTGAAGGTGAGAACTCAAGGTCAATCAGAGAGTTTGCAAGAGTTTGAAGCTGAAGTCGAAAGGTTAGTAAGACTCGTCTACTCCGAAGCACCGCATAACTTCACTCACTGGATTAGTGTCCGTAGTTTCATCGATGGGATTCGTGATATGGAGCTGCAGCAGTCGTTGAGAATGACAAGTCATAAAAACTTGAATGAAGCCATCATTTATGCCCTAGAATTTGAAGCTGCTAAAAATGCTTCGCGACAAGAACGAAAAGTTATAGTGAGGACCATCAATGAAAAGGAAGACGACGGAACAGATAGACTCTCATGGTAGGTCTTGAAGAACTCCTTAAGAAATATTTGATGAATGGAACTGCACCTAAGGCAAGAGGATGGCCTAAATGTTATAACTGCGGCAGAGAACGACATTTAAGGCGGGACTGTCGAATTCGTTCAATATCCAACGAAAGAAGAATCTGGCGTTTGGAATCACCCGAACAAGAGCATCGGGGTTCGGAAAACTAAATACAGCCAGTGTTAGGGGGGGGGTATGTACACGGTATATTGGCTGCTGCAACCCAAGCCCCCAGGTATTCGATTTCCATGATTGGACGCAACAGTAACAGCTTAGTTGTCGACGGATTTCTGAATAATCATCAGTGCCTTCTCAACATCGATACTGAAGCAACTAGGTCATTAATGAGGGCCTTCATTTCCAACAGAAGCAGTTTGCAGAAATTATCAGTAGTATCTGTTGAGAGTATGTGAATAATCTAAAGGATATACTAGAAATTGTACACGAATTTGCCAGTACCAAATTACAGCTTTCCAGCGACAGGATGAAGATAAGATTTAACAGAAAGTCAATGCGAACAACCTCAGGGAAGGGGATAGTGTTGTCATGCCCGAAAGGAAATAACGCCGGCCGCCAATGGTAACCATAAACCAAACGTGACGTAGCTAAGAGAGCGGGAATGCACATTGTTCCCTGCCGCTCGAGAAGCAGCGAGAATAATGCTACCGATTTCGACTAATTTCGGTGAAATTTCTACGGTATTCGATTACGACATTTAAACGCTAGCGGCGGGCATATCGAGACAGTCAAGTACACAGTGAAGTGGACGTTACAGTGCGGTACGTGAAGTGATCTAGTAAGGCGACGGACATTCAAATAATAGTTGAAGTTTGGTTGAAGTATTTGTTGTTTTTAAAGTGAAATGAAGTTAAGTTTGATTATTCTGTGTAATAAATTATTGGTCAACCCACGGGGAAAAACGTAACAATACTATAAAAGTATTTACCAAAATATTTTCATCTTTTTCATATTTGATGATTCGTTTTTATTTAGTCTGACAAAATCACGTTAAAAACGATAACACGTCTTAAATAAGTAGAAATTCGATTTGTGTCGCGAAGACAGAGAATAACACCTCTATTCATTTTATTTATCAAGAATAAGTTATTTATTATACTCACACTCATATTTTTTATAGTTTTCTTCACAACACATCACTTGATTGAAATTTGTAT